GACAGCCGGGAGAGCAGCGCGACCCCCAGGACAGAGCCCAGCCCCGCGGGGTGACAGCCGCTGGCAAGCACAGCCCTGGCTGGTGTGATGTGCAGCAATAACACCCCCAGCCTCCTGCATACTCCCTCTAGCTCCGTGAAGACTCACTCTAAAAGGCAGCACTCCCTGCTCTGGAACAGAAGCGTAGCATTTTAAAAAATAATAAATACAAAACCCAAACACAAATGGAATAAATAGGAAATGTGTTTCCAGTTTTAGCGTCTCAAAATAAAGTGGGAAGGCCTGAATCATGCTGCAGCCATGGTGTGTGAAGTAGGAATGTGTGCTCTGTTTCCATTAAAAATTTTTAAAGAGGTTATATGGAAAGTTATTTTAGGTATAAGCTGTCAGTATAACTCTCTAAGAAAAGGCAAGAGGGAACTCAAATGAAAAGCAGCAGTTGCACATGATCTGAGAACAGCTCATGAAAACCTCAACTCAACAGAAAAGGAGCAAGGAGAGTGGGATGTGAAGCCTCAGGACACCCAGATCCTTTCCTTGACTTCCACAGCTGCAGGAAGGGGTTGTGTCTTCCATGTTTCAAGGACAGGTAAATTATCAGACCTGACACTCTTCTGAATACAGGACAAGATAAGCTTGGCAGGGTGATGGCCACACAAGTGCAAGGGCACTGCCCTGCCTTGGAATCAATCTGACACTGATACCACAATGCTAACTTTTCAAATCCTTAAGAGTCATCCCAGCATCTATCTTGGTATTTCTTCCATCTTCTCATTCAAAACATCTGTCATATCAAAACAAGGAGACACTTCCAAGACCAGAGATTGGCAATCTCAGGGCACATAGATTTTAAAACCCCATTAGCTCATCCTGAGTTCACTTTTAGCCATTGATTCATAGATTCAGAAAAAAATAAATCAGGTAATTGTCAGCAAATTTCCTTCTTTTTAAATGCTGGAGAGCCACAGACCACTAGAGACTCTGCACCACAATTAAAGGCACCAATGAACCAATCAGCCTTTCATGAGTTGTTTTATAGTCTGCCACAGTGTTTTAAAGCTAATGAAGACTGAAAAGACCACAGTCAACTGCTCCTTCACCCCAAACAGTCATTAAAATAGTCATATGTGGGCCCTTTGTTCCAGTGCTGGAAAATGTCAGCCTGGAGAAGGCCAAGGTGGAATTTCGAGAATGGGACTTGTCTTCCATGGCTCAGGCACTGCCAACACCAAAGGGAGTGGAAATGCAAGGTCAGAAAGTGGGCTCTAGCCAGCATAGTCTATCCAGAGATTTTCACAGTAGCAAGGACTTGGCTTATCAACTATACATTCCCTCAGTAAGCTGTTAAGTATTTTCACAAAATCAAGTTCAAGTGTAACTGAAAATTAACATCAGACAACATCAAAGAAGTGGTAGAAAGCATTAAAAAAAAAAAAAAGCCTACGCTGAAAGGAAAGCACTCGTGTATGGAATCAGCAGCACTGCAAGCCCTTCTTGGGCAATTATTAAAATAGATCTCAGATTCTGAGCCAAAATGCTCCATCTGGAATCCACAAGCCCAAAGAAGGTAAAGAGTATCAACTGATAATCAGTATCCACTAGTAAAAATCTGTTCACTGAGGCTTCCCACACAGGAACTGTGACAGTGAGTTTAGGCATCTTGCTTTGAGAAGAGGGAGGAAAAACCCCTCTGTTTTTAATAAAATTAAAGACTAGATGCTTTTCAAAGTCTGCTTCCCCATTGGCCTAGTTCACTTTGAAAGGCTAAGCTTTCATGTTACCTTTGCTCCTAGCTCGTAACTAATGTCTGTAGCTGAAGTCTGGGTTTCTCAGAGGGGTGTGGCTGTCCCGACTTTCACAAGCACAAAAGGACAACATATCATTTTGAGAAGGTTGTGAAATATGATGCAAAATTCTGGAAGAAAAACAACAAGAAAGGGGCAAATAACAGCAAACAACTGATGAGAAAAAGTTTGCTGTTCAGTCTCTCACCTTGACCCTCTCTGCAGAAGACATGCTCAAATGCAAATCTTCACAAAACCTGAAGAGACTTTGTGTGAACACAAATCTGCCACTCCATTTCTTTTTTCAACTTCATTATAGCAGCCACTGAGGTAACAATGTAATGTCCATTTTATGCAGTTCAACTAAGAACAAGCCAAATATGCATCCCTGTGATGCCAATCGTTTGTGAATCCTTTCCTGATCAAACACTCATTGCTAGACAGCAAAATTAGGGCTCATCATTACATGAAAGACACCCCAATTTAGTACAGAAGACAGTGTCTCAAGCCCATATTTGCGAAGTAATTTACACTTATGTATATATAAAAGACACAAGACTACAAAAGAATGCAGAAGAGAGCCATACACTCAATAATGACATACAGGAAACAGCAACATTCATGAATTTATAAAGTAAGGTCTGTGATCAGATTTTCCAAGGTATTTACCCACCTAAAAGATGTCAGTAGATGCCTAATGAACTCTGAAAAAAAGTGGACGCAAAGCCTTGCTAACTAACTTCCAGGTAAAACACTTTCAAAGTTGTTTTGAAATGAAATCAAAGCAGTTTGTAGGTAGACACATTTTAGAAAATGCCTTCACTCCCCAAGATAAACAATCCCTTTGAATGCACACTGTGCACGAAGCCATTACAGCATTGCACAGAGTAGCTTGAAACAGCCAAAATAAGCCAACAAAAACCACCGCAAAACCCAACATTTTCCACATTCATCCATTTATTACAAAACTCCGATGGAAATTAGTGTTATGGTATATAAAAAATTCAGTACATGCCACCGCTCAGCTGACACACAGAAATGCCTATGACAAATTCTTGTCATCAGTACTTGAGGCCCGAGGACAAGCCTCCAGAGGCATCCACGCGAGTTGTTGGCGTGCGTAGTGCGTATGGTACGTTAAGGCACGACGATTGAGGGAAGTCAGCTGGGTGCATCTCTGGTGACTTTATACGCTTTCTTGTACAACACACAAATGCAAATCACCAGAGATGAAGCTTCAGAAGTAACAAAAGCACAGAGAAAGTTCTGATAAATTGATAGGATACATAATGACTTAAAATGGCAGGTGAAATTCATGATACTGTGCAAACACACACGTTTACTGTAAACAGGCCACGAAGTCTTAGCATTACCCACGAAACCGTTTGCAACAACCTAGCAGATAAATGATGAACTCCTCAAACCCACCACAATGACTAGTCCAAATAGCATACTCTTATCAGTTTCTGAACAAAAAGGTATAGGAAGGATAATAAAACCACATTTATAAGTATGAAGACAGTGTTACCAAAAGAATCAGAAAAGATACACTATAACTGGAGTAACATTGAATATATAAAACAGCTGGTTTACAGCACATCTTCAGACTTTGTGTTTGTTTTATCGCAGGTCCTGGTCTGCAGCATCCAGCTTTAGCATTGGAACGTTACCATTCGGGCAAAGAAAAGAGAGCACCCATCCACTTAGAGAACTGTGTGCTGCTGGGAACAAAAGTGGAAAACAAAGAGCATTAGAAAGGACAAACTCTCAGCACTGTCAGAGCATTTGGGGCAGTCTGAGCCTCTCTGAGCAAAGCAACATAATCCAAGGAACGGGGAGTTTCAGTTCCTGCATCACAGGGACCTGCATTAGAATTGGATCAGCTGAGCAGTTTGGCCCCAAATATTTATCACCAATGTCTAATTAGAGCATATAAATGAGAACTTATTTTTAGCTACATACTTTGTGAAGCACCCACACTCCCCTGTGCCTGCAGGAATACCAGCAGCGCATTACAGCTCGTCCCAACAGCACGCACACAAGACACCAACTTCAGCCTGTCATGTTCCTGATGCTGGGGAGAACAAACCACTCAGCTAAACAGGGCTAGAAGTAAGCAGCAAGTTTGATGTCACACACCAACACTCTTATGACACTGCTTAGGTAAAAAAGAAAAGTAAATAGATCACTCCAAGCGTTATTCCTATGGCCGAAAAAATGGGATACCAGTCTGTAATTTCAAAAGTAACTACCAGTTTTGGATATTTCTACAGTCATTTGGCAATTGAAAAGGCTGCTACAAAGAAAGCAGATTCCAGCTTTCCTTGAAAGTTTGGTCCTGCTTTAGAAGTTGTGACAGATTTGGAACTCAGGGAAACACCTCAAATTCTCCAGTCCCAAAAATACTCTATTCCTGACAGGACAAAAATAGCTTAATCTAAACATTCATCTGGATGGAAAAAAAGAAATATCCTGGAAAACATTGGTTGTGTCAACTCATTAGATGAGCGCAACACTCAATCCAGACTACAGCTGGGATAAGGAGCGAGGAAAGCTGACAACAGGGTCCTTTGCTCTTTGCCATTCCCACTGTGGGAGTTCTGTTCACTACACAGTTACTTCACATTTTAAGGAGACCATCACTTCCCATAAGAACCAGAACAAGCAAGCCAGCAGTAAGGCTTCAAAGCCAGAGTCCATAAAGTGCTAAGCAAATTCAATATTCAAATTCAAAATTAACCCGTTGTACTTCACTGCTACTTTGAGTATGAAAAAGAAACTAGATTTCTGCCGCTGCCTGCCCAAGTCTAATCTGTTACAAGAGATACCTCAAGAGGAAACCTTAACTGATGTTCCAGACCCACAAAAAGACTGGAATTTCCAATAAACATGAAGACTCAGGTTACAAGCACAGCTGTGCACTGATGTTACCAGCATTAGCTACACAACACCTACATTTTATAAGCTCGTAGAACACACCTGGGCAAAGAGTGTTTGCGCAGCTTTAGTGTGGATTTGTTTCACTGCTCTTTCTTCCTCACCTCCTTGTTAGACACTATTTTATGATACAATTAGGTTGATAGTATTCTTGACAAGTTTGACCTCCAGCTTTATTAGACTAACCTTACAGTCCCCCATGCTCCTTTCGGCAATACCTATCATTAATAAATGCCTCCATCTGCAAAGAGAATTTGTGCCATCATTTAAGAAAGAGGATACATTTCTTCAGCATGCCATTAAAACAGGACTTTCTCAGTAAGCAGTGTCATGAGCCAGCACTGCATACATCTGCACCCTGGTGCATGTGGTCACACAGCTCAGAATCCTGTATTTGTAAAGACTCCAAATGGGAAGGAATGAACTTGCCTCTCTCTCAGCTGCTTCCAGGAACACCACTACAAAGCAAGGCAACTTGTCATCTCTACATGTTCACTTCTGAATTCCCAATGAGAGAAATTTGCTTTCTAAGCAGCTACTTGTCTCACTGGCCTAAGCTGTTTTTTACAAATAGCTCCCATTTGATGTTGCAGCCACAGCCCTTCAAGTGTCCCACCAGCAGCAAGAACTTTGAGAAATGGCATCTTTCCAAAAGGCAGAGGAGTACTGGCTGACACCAGCGCCCTGCTGTAGGTAGTTTTGACTCATTTTGTAACTTGCACTCCTAACATTTTGGCTTTCTGCTATTTCAGTCACCCTCTGTTGACTTTGCTGCTTTAAGTTTGTTCCCTTCCCTTTGCTAGTCTGTAGCAAGACTGCCCCATATACTTCATATATACTTCCCCATAGCAAACTTCATCAGTCGAGCTCACACTGAGTCACAAAATTGGCCTTTGAACTGATTTCCAAAGTTCATCATGCTATAGGGTTGACATCCACTGAGTCAAATACACATAGCAGGCTCCAAGCTTCAAAACTATAAGAAATGTTCCTCCGTTTCTTTAGCAAAAGGTGACCCTGAAGCATTGTCAGGTTCCCATGATAACACATAAGGCTTTGGCATGGACCTGGCAGGTCTGTGTACTCCACACCTCAATAAATTCTGGCAGCAAGCACCTCTCATCACCCTATGCATACAAGGGCTCTAAGTGGATAGAGCAGTATGTCACTGGGAAAGAGGAAGAGGTGGAATATGTCAGTTGTAACATTCCTGAGCCATGAAGCCTCTAAGAGGCAGAGTGCAAGGTGCCACTGCATGTATTGACAAGAACTGCAAATGCCACTGTGACCCATTAGGAATTTTATATTCTATTTTATATTCTCTGGGATCACTTCAGAAAAATGAACCAATTTGCATTAATCCATTTACTGCCAAAATTTATTGACAAACAGTTTGGGCAATTATGTAAAAATACTAGAAAAACTTGGTATTGGGTGCTACAATCCTTTTTATTTTATGTTTTGCAAACACTGCATCACTCCTTAGAAAGCTTTTAAGTCTGCTAAGTAGAGAGCATTTTGAGACATAGGAGACCATTTTGCTCTCTTCTCCTCTATAAGCATAGCAGTTGTGGAAACTGGCCTCAAAGGGCATGTGCTTCTCCAGACACCTAAATCCTACACTGATAGATGCTATTTCTAGGGGAAAATTTTCCTTATAGAAATAGGTCCTCACAAACTCCTAGAAATTTTGCATACAGAAAATGCAGACATGAAAATTCAAGCAGGATTCTTTCAGAGCCAGAAGACAAACAATACTTAAGTACAGGACATTTGCAGACCTGAGCAATACTTCAGACTTGCATATCATATTAACAATACACATATTTTTTTCTGTACAGTGCCTCAAAGATTACAGTTTTACCAAAGTGCTAGCTTGCTCCTGTTGGGAACACTTGCACAACTTACTGTCTATCAAAGGCCACAGAGACATTGTGGAACAACCAAGGTCACAATCCAAGTACAACATCATCTTTTATTATGTTCTCCTTACAATCCAGAAACATTACTGTTTCACAGTAATGAATGAGAGCAGTATGGATTACCAGAGAGATGCAGGGCATTTAGATGAACAAACTCATCTGAAGCATTATTGCCCTGTACTTCAAGGATTAAAAGCCATAACACCTGAAGTCTGCCTAGCTCTCCACACACTATACACAAGGGCAGGTGGGCACCAGCTACAAGGTGGTTCTTGAGGACCCTGCTGAGATGTTTCTACACTTAACTTCAAGGTCCTGTCGAGCCACACAAGGTCAGCACTTCAGTTGTGGAGTAGCAGAAGAAAAACAACAATTTCTATCGCAAGTCTGTTCTCTAAGGGAGACAGAACTTGCGCCAACCCATCAATGCAGGGTTTGCTGAACAACTCCACATTTAGAAGAGCTGAAGGGAGCAGGAGAATGATGACACTCTCCTAGTCTAATTTCTAGCCAGAGAAACATCCACTGGCAGTGCCAGGCAGTTGTTCCAAATACTACAAATTTGCCCAAGCTTCACATTCTCCAGGCTCTCAAATTCAGCTGCCAAAAACTACAACATGATCTCTACTTCCACAAATGACATTTCTCATCAGATCAATTCAGCATTCAGCAGCATCGTTTCAGAAGGCTGGTTGCCATGACAATGCTTTGTGTTGTTCTGTTAAATGATGTCAATTCATTGATAGAAAGAACTAGCTGTTTGGTGCCTTTAGCACTGTTCTTATCAAGACTCAGAACAGTGTTAGTGTCCTCAGGAAGCTTTAAAATACTTCTGAAAATCACAAGCTATACTAACAGAATTTTCAACATCCTACAGGTATTTTAAGTGTAAGTTGGTTTTATTTACGCGAACACATTTCCCTAACTGTAACTACATTGCCAGATGTAATTATATGGTAGCTCTATAAGCTTTCCATAGCCTGGTGATCTTGAAACTGAGTGAAGACAGACAAACTAGATTTTTTAGAAGAACAGGAGGAAAACAGATCGTAAAGATATAGATACACTTTCAGGTACAGACAAGGAAAAGGAAGAAACATCCACCAATAACCATTTCATTTGATACAGTAATTCCACCATTTCACAATAACTGCTCATCTGAAACGGACAAGTTCAGAAACTAGTACATATGCTCCTGGAATTACTGCAGGCTTATTTCAAAAGCATTTCACATTGGAGCACCCAAATGAAACTAAACCTGTTCTAGGTTTTGGTAACTTATTCCACCCTTCCATTTTCAATTCAGTCCTTCATTTGAACTGTCAAATATAAGAAGCAATAAGCTCCTACACCTTACAGCAGTGTCTTGTGTTTCAGAAGGAAAAAAAAAAACCATCTGAAAAAGTTAAGTAAGGTGAGTATATCAAAAGTTATGGGAAAAATTTGTTACTGCTTATTCCAAGAACATTCTGGTGTCTATCTGTGCTCTCACTGCCTGCTATTATCACCTCCACATGCACTGTTTGTACACAGAAGTTATGAATGTTTAAAGGAAACAGACAAAAGTGTAGGTCAACACACCTTTGTTATGGCTGCACTCAAAAGATCTTAATCACCACTATCTGTACTCACAGGCTTTTGTCAAAACCTGCATCTGGAAACAGGAATGACCAGTGTGCCAAAATCATCTTCCTTTCCTACCTCTAACCCAGTCTCCATCAGCACCTGTGTTCATTCCCTTTCAGGATTCTATTTCTCCAAGCAAGAAATGTGTCCATCCTCTTCAGAAACTCTGAACATATTCCCTTTGTCACTCCCCTTATGCTTCTTTTACTCTAGCCTTGAAAGCAAAGGAAACTGC